TTTTAACAATGCCTATTAAAGGATTGTGATCCGTTTCAATGATTATTTTCCTGCCAAAAATGAACTGGTTAAACTTTTCACAACCAAATAAAATTGCAAGCAATTCTTTTTCTATTTGTGCATAACGCTTTTGGCAATCGTTTAATGCTTTGAAGCATAAGCTACCGGTAAACCATTTTGCATTAAAACAGCACCAAGACCATCTTTTGAAGCATCCACGGACAAAACAACCGGGAGCTTTTCATTAAAAAATTGCAATACTGGTTTATTAATTAATTTATTTTTCAACTCATTAAAAATTTTGTCATGTTCGTGTAGCCACTCAAATTCAACATCTTTTTTAAGTAAATTTCTTAAAGGTGAAGTTATAGCTGCGAAATTTTTAATAAATTTTGAGACATAATTTACTACACCTAGAAATCGTTCTAGTTCTTTCCTATCCCTAGGCCGTTTCATTGATATAATCGAAGTAATTCTACTATTGTCTAAAGTTATACCATTTTTATTTATTATATGACCTAAATATTTTAACTCAGGGACGTTAATTTTACATTTTTCTTTATTGAGTTTTACATTTTCCCTTCTAAGTCTATCAAATACCTTTCTTAATCTAATATCATGTTCTTCTTTCGTCTTACCCCAAATAAGTATGTCATCAATATATACTTCTACGCCTTCTAAATCTTCTAATATTTGACGCATTCTATGCTGATAAACTTCTGAAGCACTACATAGCCCAAAGGGCATTCTCAGAAACTTATATCGACCAAATGGTGTATTAAAACAACATAAATCAGAACTTTCTGGTGTTAATTTTATGTTCCAAAAGCCATTTTTAACATCTAAAGTACTAAAAAATGACGCACCTGACAGTTTGCTAGTAATTTCGTCTAACGTTGGTAATTCAAAATGTTGTCTTTGTATTGCATTATTCAGATCTTTAGGATCTAGACAAAGTCTTAAATCACCATTAGGTTTGTAAACAATGACCAAGGAGTTTACCCAATCAGTTGGATGCGTCACTTTACGTATGACATCTAAGTTCTCTAATTCATCTAATTTATTTTTTAAAAGAGGCTTTATTGCAAGTGGAACTCTTCTACTCGCATGTACAACAGGTGAGGCATTAGGTTTCAATTTTATATCATATTCACCTTTCATACAACCTAAGCCATGAAATAAATCGTCATACTTTAAAGCGAAATTAGATTCATTAATTTTGTATATAGGATTAACTAATCCCATTTTAGTAGCAGATTCTAAACCTAAAATATTGCATGCTTTATTCGCATTCACGACAAAAAAGTCAAGTGAGTAATTTTTACCTTCTAATTTTATACGCAGGGAGCACTTGCCTATGCATTTGATTGGCTCACCTGTATATGTTGCAAGTCTAGCTTTTGACTGAATAAGATTATTTTGATCTAAACCTAAAACAGATAAATTACTAGCTAATAAGATATTTGCTTGAGCTCCTGTATCTACTTTAAGTGTAAGAGGTATATTATTTACTCCTACTGCTACAGTCCAGTCTCTTGAACTTCTATCAACTGAACTTACAAAAATCTTTTCAAAATGCAAAATATTTACTTGCTCCTCTTCATTATCTTTATCTTCTTCTACTTCACGTAAATAATGATTATTACATTGGCTTGCAAAATGATTATATTTATTACAGCGGACGCATTTCTTCCCGAATGCTGGACATCTATTTCTTAAGTGTTGGTAACCACATTTTTTACAATTTATTTTATATTTTTCTTTATTTTTGTCATGATCTTTATTAATATTTAAGTTTTTTGCCGGTTTTATATCATACGAATTTTTATTTTTGTTTAATTTACTAATAACATTTTTAACATTTTCATAATTATAGGAATTCTCTGATCTGCTAGAATTACCGGAATGTATTTCCTCGAGCTGTTTTTTAGTTTCTTGTGAAGTTTTACATACATCTATTGCTTTATTAAGTGTCAATTCCTTAATTTGTAAAAGACGATCTACAACAGAAATGTCTAAAATTCCACAAACCAGCTTATCTTTGATGAGACTTTCTGTAAGAACTCCAAATTCACATGAAGCACTCAAATCTCTTAACTCAATTATGTAATCTTCATACGATTCCCCTTGTTTTTGACTCCTAGTAAAAAATTTGTATCTTTCGTATGTAACATTTCTTTCCGGATTAAAATGTTCTTCAAATTTCGCTATAACTTTATTAAAATTATTCTTGTCCTCAGGTTTATCAAATACAAAACTATTGAATAGCTTTAATCCACGGTCACCAATCGTATTCAGAAGTAGCGCTATTTTAGTTGAAGAATCTTTCTCTACATTACCAGACGCTACAATAAATATTTCATATTTTTGTTTAAATAACTTCCAGTTTTCTGCCATTGACCCCAACCAGCACATTTCTGTAGGTATTCGGACTGCCGACATATTCATCTGACCATTCATAATTCGTCTCTATCAATATATTATATTTTCTATTCTTTACATTAAATATTGTAAACTTACTTTATTTTATTATTTATATTAGGTAAATTTCAGTACCGACTGCGCCATGTTATATTAAATTAATATAATATTAATTAAAATAAAACTACATGATAGCTTAAGAATTCATCTTGTAATGTCATCATTTTATGTTTCCTCTAATTTATAGTAACATCATAAAGTTTGTATATGTCTTATAAAATTATAAAATAAACTAATACAACACTACTGTCATAATTTGATAGTGATGTTTGCTATTACGTTACTTATTCGGAAAGTCGATTCAAAGTATACTTTATTCCAAAATACCTAGCCAACAATTTCCAAACTGCTCTGTCTTTGTATGCGTTTGACAAGACATTTCGTTTGCTAAAAGTAGAACTTTGTCATAAAGTGTAAGTGCGAAATATAAATCTCGCCCTAAATCTGTAATTATATCAGTATTTACAATAAGTTTATTCTAAGTGTCAGTATTTTACGTTAAGTAAAAGATTAATCAGTAGTGATCGCAGCGTCGCGTCGCTCGCGGTGAAACGTGTCGCGAGCTGATTGCACACTGATATACTAATGGTTAATATTTCATTTCGATATTTGTTGAGCTTAACCGTTCATCATGATATTTAGGGTCGCTCCACACTATAGTGCCGATCACGATTCGCTTTCGGTCCGATATTGGTCTAGTAAAGTATATCTATATAAGAGATATAAGACTGTGATCGGCGCTATAGTGTGGATCTAACCTTATTCTCGTCTTGACTTTTTATATTGGTCATGTTCTCTCTATATTTAGTAGCTTAGGATAAAACTGCTTCCTTTCAACTTCCTTCTCCTGGTGGGTTGTGCTGATTCAATTTATAAATGTGATGCTACTTATCTTTAAAAAATATATATTTAAAGAATTGTTTTGAAATGACATAAATCGTTATCCCATATAATCATATTATGTTGTTAACATGGGGTCTCATCACGAAAAAAGAAAAAATCGTTCAAATAAATGTCAGTAGATGACGTTACATGTATCGATTTGTTACATAGAGTATATTGCTTGATTTGTTATTAAAATTGTCTTAGATGGACAAAAGATAAAACAACAGATCCTAAAAATGTGTATTTTTGTTTTAAAAAATATTCTAAGTGAAGGGAAACGAAATAATGTAAATCAAATTTGCATAATTTTACTGATCATTGAAATATCAGCAATCAGATGATGGATTTGTAGTGTATATTCACAGATGGTGCTTTTACGTTTTATGATTTGTTCATCAAGGTTAAAAATGGTTAAAATCACTGATATTTTTTGTTCGAACGCAGGATGAATGTCGTCTTGTATGGGATGAGGCATCTGATTGTGTACTAGTATAGTATTAAGTGATCTGTTCTATAAGGTTTCTATTAAATTGTGGACGATTGTAGTTTGTATTCAGCCCTTTTTTCCCACTCTGGGCACGGGCCTCCCTTCAATACGAGGGGGATCAGGCCATAGTCCACCACGCTGGCCAAGTGCGGGTTGGCGGACTTCACATGTCTTTCGAAAACTCGCTAGGTTCTCTCAGGCATGCAGGTTTCCTCACGATGTTTTCCTTCAACAATCCTTACCTTGCCGTAAGGCAAGTGGTAATCATGTTAAAAAAGATTCGCACAGAAAAATCAGAGGTGCGAGACCCGGGATTTGAACCCGCTTCACTCGGTTTCCCAAGCGAGCGCGTTACCACTGATGCTTACTTTAGAATTTTAATGGTTTTTTTACTGATGTTGACAAATTACTGATGTTGACCTTAAATACTGGTCTTAAATAGGGTTCAAAATTTTATATACTCGATATGATCTATGAAAACAATTTCTTACATAAAAAAATTATCTTAGCAGTATTAAATTTAGTCAGATTAAATGATTTTATGGTTTATAGCTTATAGACCAAGTCGTAAATTAATTTTATGAATATAACATCATCTAGTGTATAGAATATATCTATTTCCAAGCACGGGACAAGTTTGCAAGGAAACATAATAATCATCCAGGGACAATGGGGACCATGTTGGAATGCGCCATAAACGCGTGACGTTGAATGTGTTGTAGTGAATGGCTGGCTTTATGGTTATGTTCCTTCTACACATAAGCATATAGAATATTATTTACCATATAATTGAATGTTACGTCTATGTCTTAAAACCCATAGCTATATTTTAATTCCCCTAAGCATATTATTTTTAACAATGTAAAAAATATTAAAATTTTCAACATGATAAACCCTCTTTCTATTGGTAAAAACAATATTAAAATCAGCACAGTAACTGTTTCTGAAGAGCCGAACAAACAAAAGTACAGCAAGGCAATTTGTAATATGTAGTGATACAATCATTGGCCATGTATAGAGATCTAAACTTACGAACTAATTTAGACACGTACTAACCTAATGCATTTACCAACGACGGTTGGTTCATAAATAATGTAAGTATATTGTTTTTAATTCATTCATAAATTAAAAAAAATGTTAATTTCAGGAATTCTTCGTGCCAATCAATACTAAAGGTGAAATGTACGAGGTGTGCCCCGAAGAGTTATCGCCAGCGGAGTGGGATGAAGCTGCACCGTCAGCGCCTGTTCCTCCGGAAATATCTTCAAGAGCTCATCGACTACCGCATCTTTTGAGCTTGTGGAGACTCCCCACTCGAGTGAGACTACTGGCAGGCACTGTTCCTATAGAAATGGCACATGATGTCGGAGGTGAGTGTCTATTAGTTTTTTTAGATATTTGTTATTTGTTATGAGAACTTTTAGGGCAATGGATAGATATTTGGTGTCTGTCTGATACTCAGTCAGCATTTTCAAAGCAGAAAATTAAACGTCAAAATAATAAAAAACACGTATTTATACACACACTTGATATTTTTTAGATAATTTGAATAATACTTCTCATTTTTTATGGGTACACTATTGATAATAATTAATTAAAGTATACAATTACTTTTTTAATACACCGTCATATTAATAACTATGTATATGACAGTTGAATAAATGTACAAACTGTAACAATAGTTACACATCATGTAGAAATGTATAGATCATCAATTTAATATTTAAGTACCTATTACTGATGTGATGTGATAATGTATATATTCGTTTTTTCTTTACCTTTAATACCATTACAGTATCTTTCGATTAAGAAATTTATTGCAAGTACTAATCTCTTCTTTATTTATTCCACTCCATTACATCCGGTCCTCTTACCGGTCGATGAAACGTAATCTGATGCTTTTTTTGCAGTGAAGTAACAAAACTCTGTGATATCATAATTGTAGTTAGTAATTTACCGATACGGACGATAAAATATCGATAATAATCTTTATTGCTCGCACTGCGTTGAGATGATCCTATAAATAAACCTGCATTACTAGACTTACAGACCTGTCTGACTCGTTTTATTCGTTAATTTAAGGCTTTTGTCATGCCTGTACACTCGGATAAATCATTATTCTTATATAAGCCCTGCATAATAAATAAACTTCAATTGTGACACACTACATGTTCTTGAATAAACTTTTGTTAATCTTATTTGCAGAGGATCTTCTGTTACGAGCGGCGATCACTGAACCTGTATTAGTGATGTGCACTCTCCCGGAATATAACTCCTTGCCATCCAGCCCGAGTAAGCAAGTGGATCCAAGATACCATACGAAAGAGACCTTGCAACTGCTTCCGTTAAATAGCAATATTAAAATTCGAAGAACTCAGCTAGGGTTTGAAAGTGAAAAAAGGATGTTCCTCTCCGCGCGCCTTCAAAAAGCACTAACCTTCTGTCAATTGAATGTTGACAACTGGATCAGGCAGATCTCTTACGCAAACTCAACTGTTGCAAGCAAAGCGAAGACAGTGGAGGACCTCATCAAAGAAGACCACGAACCAGTGAAGTTTGAAAAAGAAAAGAAATTTACCCTACAAGGCCTAAAAATAGATACGTCAAGACTATTTGGGAAAAGTGATAAAGTATTAAAAGAAATACCAGATGAAACAGAAGGTTCAATCATATTTTTAAGTAAAAATGAACTCGAGCATATGAACTACGATGTTTACAGCGATGATGAAGGAAAAGATGATAAGAGTGAAGAAAAAAATGAAGCTGAACAATTTTCTAATGACAAGATGCACGTGTTTAGAGAAGATTCGGGGCCGAAAAAAACTAAATGGTTTAAAAACCTCAAACTATTAAAAAGTACGGAAAAATTGGATGATAAAATAACTGCTATCGAAAATAATGAAAAATATAGGGATGTCAAAGATCCATTTGATCCCTTAGGAGAAAAACATAGTTCAATTGAACGTTACCAAGATATGGCTAAACTTATTGAAGATAGATTTGGTGTGCTAAGAAAGAATGACGGGACAGCTGAGAAAAGTCATTCTTATAAAAGCCTAACAACATCATCGTCTGATATGGGTACGAGCCAATGTAGTTCCAATCACAAAAAACCAGTGCTAACTAAATCAGTGTCAGTCCAAACGGGTATGCCTGATAGTTCGTACGCGGAAGAAGAAGACAGTGGTATAAATATGAAACATGGTCGCAAAAATCTTAGTGTTGACCAAATTAATTACTGCGGTTCGATGGAAAGTGACTCGAGCTCTGGTAGAAAGTTAAAGTCACTTGACGAAAATATGCTAAAGAAATCATCAGCAACTAAGTCTTCATCGAATCTAGAGCGAAGACAAAGAATTCAACCAGATTTAATACCCGAAAAAGCAATGGTAAAATCAGAATCTTATAACCAAATTCAAAGCTGCGAAGACATTAATATGTTTGGAGCTGGATCCTTATATAATGACAGCGATTTCGAAATTAATTATAAACAACACTCTTTTATTACTGAAAAGCTGTGTTCTGAGTTTCACGTTAAAACAAAGAGAGTTCTTAGCAAATCTACATCTAATTTACTCCATCCTAAAAAATCAAGTGACAGAAAAGAATCTAGTAATAGTAATAGTATGCCAACCAAAACTGAGCGATGTAGCGATAGCGATAAATTAGTTAATTTCAGAAAGAAAATAGACAAGCCAAGAGCTCCTACACCTAAATCAGAAGATGATTCAACTGCTGTCGACATATCAGAAGAACCTCAGATACAGAAAAAACTAAGACGATCCATATCCTCTATTCAAAAACGAAAGTTACCTGTGATTGAAGACTTGCCTTACGGGCAAGTGGCGGACGCAGTTCATATAGAAGAGGAAATAATAGACACAGATTCAAGTACAGATAATATATATGCTGAAATATGCGCCCCAAATAATAAACCTAGTGAAGAAGACACTTACGACTACAATGTCGACGTTTTAGCAACCGATCCTGTGATATGCAACGTAAAAAAAGAAGTGAATGATCGCAATGATGAAAGAGCAAGGCAATTGAATGGAAATAAGGACAACCCGTTTAGACACATAGAAGTAGTAGTAATAGAAAGAAGCGACCTCGAATTAGACAGTTCAAGCGTAGTATCTAGTGAGTTAGATGAAACAGAAAGTAAAAATGATGTATCTATCATAGATTCATGGGAACGTGATAACACGAAAAGTGAACCAAAAATCCACGCTATTAGATTAGAAATAACGAGTAATATGGAAGATTATCCCGTAGATAACCAAAACTTGGACACCGAGGTTCATCTAAGTAAGGATAACTCGTTAAGTTTTAGTAACAGTATACATTTGAATGGTACATATCCCAACGAGGCCATCTACGATACTTTAAAGTAGGTTAGTTGTATATTATTTTAAATACAGAACATTTGAAACTACGGTATTATATATTTAACAAAAATTTGGATTGAATCGAAATTTTATAAAATCTTAATGACTATTAACGAAAATCAGCACAGTGGCTCACTACAACCTTGGAATTGGCACGCTTAATTGATTTAAAGTTTAAAATGTGCAATCGCAGTTAACGTATCGTCTATACAATGCTTTATTAGTTTTTGCTTAGTTTTATAGATATACCATTCACCTACGTGTCATACTATAGATAATAAATTAGAGGCTGATCACAGATACATTAAACTTTTGAAATTTAGTCAAGTTAATACATAATATTATATTGTCATAAAATATATTTAAATTGAGATAAAAATACGTTGTCTGTTACAACTATACTGTTGTTTAACTCGTATAAAAATTCTGCTAATCGAGAAAAGTTAGGAACTAAATACTTTAAGTATTTGCCTATACATGTATATAAAAATTATACATTTACTTCTATATAGTAGTCTGAAAATGTGCGAAGAATTATAAAGAAATTCATTCATTTCTATATAAATATAAATATCCACGATTATTTTATAAAAATATTATTTTGGCACGTAAACGAAATTGTGATTAATATTACATGAAAATATACATAAAATTATTGTGCCCTTACTTGTGTGGGCACGGTTTAACAATTCCATAAATATTTTTTATTTTTTTTATTGCACGTATTAGCTTAAGGCATATTGCTGATTTTTGTCTATGAACGGGAATAATTAAGGTTTAGGACTCTAGCTTAAATGTAATAATAAAAATTTCTTGAAAAATTTACGTTTAAAAAAATATATAATATGCGGCCTCCTTTAAATCGTTTATGCAACTGTATCTTCTTTTTCATTCTGTAATTTCATATAAATATTCTGAAAATTGTGAATCGGTGCTATTGTAGGTGCTCAATTTAATAGTAATTTAATTTTATTTAGCCTTAATACACTTTCTAGAAATGTAGCCCTACTTACATAGTTTATATATCACATCGATTTCTGGATTCGATCGATTGTTTTTAAAAGAATAATCGATGGAAATACATAAAGTTCTATTATTAAACATCGATGATTAATCATAAAACTAAATGTTCGAATGTCTATGTAATTTTTTAAAAGGGCACTTTATTATATGTTATTAATGGATATATCCTCCTTCGGCATATACATTTCGGCATATACTACTTCCTATTGGCAAATAAAAATATTGGCACCTGCAAAGAACAATATTGTAGCTCAATGTTGCAGCAATTCTGAATTTAAATTTGTAATAAATGAGAATATTTAAAAATCACAGTTACAACATTATTCCTTGCAGCAACAATATAATTTAATTTATGTATTTACTATTTTTTAATGGGCTCTATTTCTAAGTATCACATATCACATGACAATTATTATAATCTTTTGTAAATTGTTTGTACCATATAGTTCTAAATATTGTGTATAATAAATTTAATTTAAGTTGCTCTCGAAAACGAAATGTAAAATTGTTGTTTATGAGATGCTTACAACAAATAAAAGAATTATAAAAGAATCTCGCTTTTCATTTAATTTAAAGAGTTAACCTTCTAAGATATAAAAATAGAAAAATTATAATATTTATAAAGTTGTAAGTGGTTTATGGGACTCATTCACATTTTTGAATACAATACATACATACTTTAAAAATTTACAATATAAAGAGGTACAGACTATAAGGCAGTGGTAGCCCAGTGGTAACGCGCTCGCTTGGGAAGCCGGGTTAAGCGGGTTCAAATCCCGGGACTCGCACCTCTGATATTTTCATGTGCGAATCATTTCTAACATGATTACCCCTTGCCTTACGGTGAAGGAAAACATCGTGAGGAAACCTGCATGTCTGAGAGAACTTAGCAAGTTTTCGAAAGACATGTGCAGTCCGCCAACCCGCACTTGGCCAGCGTGGTGGACTATGGCCTGATCCCCCTCGTATTGAAGGAAGGCCCGTGCCCAGCAGTGGGACGTTAAAAAGGGCTGAATGATGCCTGATGCCGATACAAATCAAAGCAAAGCTTACGTCACAAATTGATGTATAATATTTTAAACTATAATTAAAGTTCATACTTCATCTTAAAGCATTGTCAGTTGGCACTGACTTTGAAAATATTTGATTATGTATCTTTAGTAAATTAAAACTACCAATCACTTAATTTTTACTTTTTAGTGTTTTGAAGACAGTTTTTTTTTAAGTTTTTAATTTTCCATTTATAGTGTAGGTAGACATAGTGATAGCAAAGTAAGAAGAAATAATTTTAATGACATTTCGACTAAGCCGCTTAAGTGAGTTTGATGCCAATTTTTATATGAAGACTGACAAACTAAAATTCGCTTTTATTAGTAATACTAAAAAATCAGGCTCTAAAATCCAATTTTAACGTATTGGGTTTGTCAAACCAAACAAAATAAGTCTAAACTTAAAGTATCTACTATTATAGAGTTCGAGTTTTACGAGTTCCACCTTCTGGCCTTATGGTTGACGATACCGAACCACTGCACTGTCAACGGAAATAGAAACATTTGCAAAGTTTCAAGTCAATATGACAATTAGAAATAGCTTAAATTTTCATTAGGTATTTTTGCATAATTGGGGGTGGTATTTTTTTCAAATTTAAATGAGACCAAACTTTAAGTAAGTATAGGTACACTTTCCACCAAAACAAAAATTGTCCAAATCGGTTAACAAATGACGGAATTCTGAGGTAACAAACATAAAAAATACGGCCGAATTGAGAACCTGTTCCTTTGTGAAGTTGGTAGAAAAGGAACATGCACTGGAATTGAAATCAAACTTTTTTAAGGAGCCGGTCAAAAATAGCTTAGATATGATGTAAAAAATGTTATATACCTATAATATATATAAGGACTATATGTAACCTTTTGTATGGACCGGTGGCATCATTTTTCGTCTTCGTCTTCGCCAGTAATGACACTTAGATCATAACTAGAAGACTATGTAAGAATTTTGCTTTACAGCATCCATGGTCACGGGAGAGACCATGGATGCTGTAAAGCATTCGAAACGTCGGGAAACAAAAATACAAATAAATCCGCGACAAAATCCGAAAAGATAGTTTTATTTAAAACAAGCAGCATTCGCTCGCATTAAAATTACATTTTTTTAAAAGATACCTAGGTTTCATACAAACTTTCATCTTCAATTTTACCTCCTTATGGGATGAATTTCAAAACAATGCTAAAATACGTATTTATTTAATTTTATAGAAGTATAATACCAAGTTCCAGGTCATTCTTATCATAAATATTTTTTTGGTTTGTACTAAAACGTGTTTTCCCGTGGGAATAAGATAATCTCCCGCGGTAAAAAGCAGCCTATGTTACTCTCCAGCCTTCCAACTATCTCCACACATAAACCCATCACTCTGTTTTGACGTGAAAAAAGGACAAACAAACACACTTTCACGTAGCAGAGTATTTGTTAGGGCATCAACTATTATCCGACTTCAATAAAGATGGTTTACAATTTGAATGTATCAGTAATAACAGTACCTGCTCTTTTATTGAGGCAGTCAAATATATGTATGTTTTTACAAAGCGAAAATATTTATTTTACTGATATATGAACTTGAATTTTGATAATACATGTAAAATATGTCACTCTGTAAAGACTACGAAATATAGTTGTACTAGCGGCTTACCCTCTAGGAAACCTACAAACCTACAAACCTATCCCACGGGAACCGTACATTTTTCCGGGATAAAAAGGAGCCTATGTGTTATTCCAGACTATAATCTATCTTTGTGCCAAATTTCATTCAGATTCGTTCAGTCGTTCTGGCGTAAAAGAGCAACAAACATCCATACTCACAAACTTTCATATTTATAATATCTAAACAGATTGGTAAAACAGATACCCATAAGTATTTTTGCTTTCAACCTCCGTTTCGAGGCTCAAACATTAATATCGGCAGGCTTTGACAATAAGACATTTTCCAATCGTTAAAGATAATAGAAAACGAAAAATTGTATGGAAATTATATATTTAAACGTTGTTTCAAATAGTTATAACATGTTATTTCTATATACCTTTTAGCTTTCTACTAGCATTGCCCGCGGCTCCGCCCGCGTTCAGATGACCAAAAACTAAATTCTTAGGTGTTACATATTAGTATACTCTTACATTGCAGTTTTTGTATTTTTCCTCAGAAATAAGATATTTTCCCGCGGTAAAAAGTATCCTAGGATCGCGCGCTACATCGCCCGGTTTATATAGCTTGAGCAGGCGGTCGAGCGATGCGGGGCAGAGGGGATGGACTCGCCGTAGGCATCTCAATGCTCGCCAAGCATTAAAAATGTTTCGCTACTAATTACTTCTAACAACGATATCTCAAAAACTATTCATCTGATTGATTTAGTGTAAAGAGCAATTTTAATCTGCATTAAATGACTAAGCTAACTAAAATATTCATTTGGATAAGGATTAATACCGAACTAAAGAAAATAACTTTGAAAATAACGTAATGTTTTTAATTAAAAATGTTAACATATAAGTGGTTATTGTAAGTCAACCGTAAGAGATAGAGATATGCTATCGCGGACTTTTTTGTAGCATTTTTATAGATTTTGAATTCTCTAGTACATTACTTAACTGTATCTTTGCTAGTTTACGCGGCGTTCGCGTGGAAAGTACCCATTTGGCGAGATTTTTTGCGACCTCTTCAACATTTGTCGCCGTATTTCAGCTAATTTACATAAAAGCATAATAAATTATATACCTAAACCTTCCTCAAGAATTACTCTTTCTATTGTTGAAAACCGTATAAAAATCCGTTCAGTAGTTTTCGAGTTTATCGCGTACAGACAGACAGGAGGACAGACAGGAGGACAGAAAGACGCGGCCGGGGGACTTATTTTTATAATAAGTATAGATGTCAAATATTCGCGTAAATCTAAGAAAGTACTATGTAAGAAGTCTGTTATAGAAGAAACGAACTCGCTAAAGCGTAACAAAATAGAGATATTGTGGTTGCTATTCCTTTTTATCAGGCGCTATTATTTTTATAAATTTTACTACTTTATTCAACCAGCTTACGTAGAGTGAGTTGTCACCCTCTTAGATCATAAACAAATATTACTACTATATTTGGTTGGGTAATCTGGGGAACAAATGGATCTATTTTCATCATTCGTTATAATATACGAGATTGTTCATATTCTGCTTGCATGATTAGAGCTGTTGCATGATTTTATTTTGGTTTTGGTTATTAGTTTTTTTAACCGCGGCGTATCTAATTTTGTTTCAATTCTGCGTAGAAAAGTCAATATGGACAATAAATTTGTGTAATAAATAACGAAATTGACTTTGATTTCCTGGTAGCTTGTCATTTTATCCGAGTAAAAGGGGCCTTTAAGTAGTTCATAAAATAAGTTCGTACTTAAGGAGGAAGGGGGTGTCGCTTACTGTGACAAGGTTTAAGGAAACGTCACGTTTGCAGCCCATCTAACAATTTTGCAAATTGTTTTTTTTTCTTACGATAGAAAGGTTCACAGAAAATGTGACATAGAGTGATGAAGGTGGGAAGGTCTAAAAAGTAAAATTTTGCATGACGTATTTTATGAGCGGCCCATTAAAAGATGGGTGTAATAAAAATTTAAAATTATCTATATATAAATAGCCAAAATAAAACTGTCCAGTACTTTTTTCTCCTTTTTTGTAAAACGTTTTTCTTTTTTTCCTTCAGAGCTATGGACGATTTAGTGTTATCACCAAAAAAAATTAGAAATTTTTTGTAATAAATTGAATTTCGACCACAAGGCGAACACAAGTGTGAATAAGTTAGGTATTTCTCATAAATGCTATAATCTACAACATTTGACCAATTTCGAAATATAAGAGGTACTATTTTTGGAGTAAAAAAGAAAGATATACTTAACTATCTTTAGTATTATTAGACAAGTGTTTAAGAAAGAAAGTTGTGCAAGACGCTTTCAACAAATGGCGTTGAAGAAACTATACGAAATACGTCCTTGGAAGAATGGATTAATACTTTTACGGGACGTTACGTTATTTTAACATTTTTGTTTTATTTATTTATTTACAGGACACTCAGTTGTTAAAACATTATATAACTTAAAAACTTGACACAAAAATCAAAACATAGAAAAACAAACGTTTTCCTAAAATTAACATTTACGACGAGCAGGTATCGAACCTACATCTAAAACGAGTTATATTTTGACAAATAAAACAAGAAAATTGATAGTTGATACACTACACATTTATAACTTTATATACTTACATATTATAAATATAAACATTCATGACTGAAGTACAAATATTCATGCTCATCACACAAATGAATCACCAGCGGGACTCGAACCCGCGACCGCTGGCACAGTAAGTAGAGTCACTCCAAACTGCGCCAAACGTGTCATCGAATGATTTAAGAATATTTCCAAATTAAAAACTAAAAAACCGTAATCAAAACTTAAGCGGAAATCATTACTATTATCTTTTTAAGTATATTGTCAAAGCAGCTATTGTGTATATTACTAATGGATTTTAGTAAACTTAAAACTAGCTATTCAGCCTCACTTTACGAATAAAAAGTAAAGATAAATAATCTATTACTTATCACTTTCCATGCTACAACTAGTAAATATATGCAAAAATATCGAAAAATCGATTAGTTGCTACAACGACCACTCGGCTTATTGGTCGTTGAGTTGCTACAAGTTTATTTTAGTAACTAGCATTGCCCGCGGCTCCGCCTGCGGTTAGATTCAACAAAACAAAATTCTTAGATTTTACATATTAGTCTTACATTGCAGTTTTTGTATTTTTTCTTAGAAATTAGATATTTTTCCGCGGTAAAAAGGATCCTATATGTTGACCCGGATAACCAGCTACCATCATACCAAATTTTATCAAAATCCCTCCAGTGGTTTTTCCGTGATGCGGTAACAGACAGACAGACAAAAATTCTAAAAACTATAGATTCGGCCTCTGTATCGATAATAATGTCTATTTCAATAAGCTTTTCCAAAAAATATTTAATGTACAGATTCGGCTTAGTTACAATTTTATTATATGTATAGATAACACCGACAACTGAAGATTATAATAATACAAGAAATTTGAACATTTTAATATTCCCTAAAAAAATATATAGTACCTACTAGCGTGTATGCGGTGCGTTTTGAAATAACGCTTTAAATATATAAAAAATAGTTATCGTGAGTGTACTTTTTAAAGTTGGTTCGTCATACAAAATTTCATCTTCTTGAACTTTTATTTTCGCGACAAAAAGTAGCTATGTAATTATTTAAGGTCTTATCTATTTCTACACCATAATTCATAGGAATTGGTTCAGTACTTAAGGCATGAAAACGTTAGAGACAGACAAACATTCACATTAGCATTTATAATATTAAGTAATATTAGTTTGGTTATCACATATGGTACATTCATCACTCATTTAGAAGTGAGGATAAGAATATTTGAATATTTGTATTAATAACATTAATTAATTACTGCAATAACAAAAACATAGATTAAAATAATCTAAAATTAAATAAAACCAACATACCTTTTTATCAGAGCCATCATATAAAATTAAAATAAAAAAACAAGTTGACAAATATACTGTATTTAATCAAATAAATTACATTAAAAATTAAAAATAGAACTGACAAATAATTTCATAACAGTAGGGCGGATGAATAGAAATCATAATTTCAACATTAAAAATACATACAACATAACTTTGTAGGAACAAAATTAATTTGTGCGTCTTATTACAATAACTCAGGAATGGTAATAAATTTATTAGTCGAAATGCACCTTAATAGTAAAGTTGGGACCACACTTCATAACGACATCATATTACACATTCAAAATCATTATATTTAAATTTCATTATTTCATTTAAAACTGTCATGTTTATGTAATAATAGTATATTATAAAAATATCAAGTATGAACCCAACTTAAATTTATTTTACAATATACAAGAATATAGTACATACAAGAGATTACCTGCGCTTAATCTAAACAAATCGTATCAATTGCCAGCTACAGGAAAATGGGCTTTGTATTAATTAAATATTATTATTTAATTAACACAAAGTATTGGAGGTGTTTAATTTTTTCTTTTCTAGAAATTGTGGCAAAAGTATGAAAAATATAGAATATAAATTAAAAATATTACTATTATACAAAATAATTGTTTCCCAATCCCACCTTTTAAAGATGGTTGATTAAAAAATAAACCCTAATAATTTTGATTATTGAAAAAAACATTAAGCACAAATATTTACAGTTGGCAATAAACTTGCAAAGTATATAAGGGCAGATGATACTTTTTTCCAGGATAGGATAAAAATAGGACGAATGGAACCTAGATTAAGACGCATAAGATACTCTCACCACAATTTCGGATTACTAAAGTTATCAGTCGGGGGATCACTGGTTTAAGCTAACCGAATTGATTGGATAATTTGGAAGATAGCAGATCCACACACTACGAATATGAATAGCGCAATTAACCATGGCGCTACGGGGTATTGGTCATCTTTTTCCTGAAAATTATAAGAATAAACAGTTATAATTAGACAATTAACTGATTACATATTATAATTCCTATTTATTATACTTTTTCTAATTTTAACATGAGTAAAAACACTTTATCCAATAAACTATTTATATACATACATATAGATATAAAAATATAAAAAAAATACAGGAACTTATGTTTGTAATGATTATAAATCAGACTATTTTATTAATGACTTTATGGTAATCAATTAGTTTTTTTTTTAAATAATTTTATGGTAATTAACTAAATAGGTCAATTATAATATTGCTAAATAAAACAAAACAATTTATAAAGTGACTTTAATCACTTTTTGGGAAGTAATCCCTTAAGATAACATAGAAATTTGGCAATCACAACTACTTTATCTAAGATAAAAGATATAATTGAAGGATACAAAATATATACTAAAACAGGTGTTATTTAAATTTAAAAAATACATAATAATTAAGTTGCCACTTGTTATTATTAAGTTTTGTTAAAATATTTTTGTATTGTATAGAAATGTCTGAAACAACAGATCTATATGAAAGTTATGTGTAATTAGTATTTTATGCATAAAATATATATTATATGCCATATAAAATAAGTCTATTAGAAAAATTAAAAAATATATCAAAATAAACATTTAGAAAATACAAAATGTTAAAATTCATACCTTCGTGGTTTTTGGGACATTCCCCCTCATGGTGATGTTTTTGCTAGCGATTTCATTTGCAATACGCATTCTCTGTTTGGGTGCCATTTTTCTTGTAAATACAGTGATATTTGTTCTGAAAAAAGTTATAATAGATTTTATTATTTATTAGTTTTTAACATTATGGACAGTATTGAGCAAATAAGAACACTACCTCATATTTTAATTCCTAATAGAAAGCATGAAAATTGCAAGTTACATTATACCGATAGTGAAAGTAATAAATAAAAAAGCACATAAAAACTGTGTCAAATCTAGTCATGACATATTTTCAAAGCCAAATAATTTAATATTACCAGAAGTCATTAGTTCAAATACTAAAAGTGGTTTTTCCAGTTAAATGCCTAATAAGCCTGCTTTATATTTTAATATTTATATCACACAGGTTTAATTCATTTTATAAATTTACATGTCTGAGATTACATAGAACATTATTAAGAATTTATAATTTAAAGTATGCGGTAGTAAGGCGTAAAGTACAAAAAATAAGTACGTAATTAGAAAATATATATATTTACACAGCTGTTCACTTAATTAATATGAAACAAAGTAGCCCAAAAGAGAAAATCTATGTACTAACACTATAAGTTGGTATGTTTGAAAAATTATTTCTTATATGTTCGAGCTAAAATATGAATTTAACACTAAGTTATGAAAACATTTGATTATCGAAAAATTGTTCTAGATTTTCCATAACGTAAATATTATGCCTTTAATCGGTTTCACCTGATAAGCTATAGGAATTACATGGATGTTTTCATTGCTACATTAAACGTAGTTAGATTGTAAGTAATTGCATGAAAATACTTACAATAATCTTAAAATTAAAGGCTGTGAAGCCGAACACGCACAAGCTCACTTGACACGTATGTAAAAGTGAAACATCAAATAAGCATCCACCGAAGCAACTTTAGTAAACGTCAACACGTCGCCTCAGTACGTCACTTGACGATAATCTGCGCATGCGCTAGCTGACACGCGTCAGTTTTATGTTGCCATTATTATTTATTTATTTATTTATCAATATATTTTTTATATAATAATAATGATTGCTAAATAAATATAAATATTATTATAAATATATTTATTTATGTTGCTGTACGAATAAAATTATTGTTTGTATTTTATAAATAATTAATTCGATTAGTGCGCCATCTAGTAGAAAGTAGTAACTCTTTTTTGAAAGTAAAACTTAGATTCAAACCCTACTATTTTTCGCTTTGACTTTTACCCTATAGATGGCGTTGAATCTAAATTAAAAAAAATGTCTTGGCAATTATTTTATATATTATATTTTACACCGATATATACATATTATGAGCAACTTAAATTATTAACTCAAATAAGATGTCAAACTCTATAAATTTTGCTAACTATTTTTGAATGTGAGTTTGTATGTTTGTTACTAACTCGATGGATATGAACGAATTTTTATTTTAGTACACGGATAGAGAGCCCCTCGCTTTTCTCTTTAGATGTCTAATAGTAGCCTATACGTAACTCCATATCACAGGTCTATCTGTGTGCTAAATGTCATCCAATTGTGTCCAGTGTTAAACAGTAACAAACATACCACATAGGTACAAGCTTTCACATAACTATATAATAATACATAGTAGTCTGAAAGATACAACTTGAAGCTATAATGAATCCCTTGCTAGGTTATCCAGCGAAAATAGCGAGCAGAGCATTATCTACGATTTCTACTTCCTTCTATTATATCATCATTTTTTTCATACATCCTTAACGGCGATACCTATTTATTGTTAGATTTTGAACCATGATATTTGCTATTTAGACATTATTACGTGTATGTTTATCTTTATATTAGTAGGAATGGTTTCTGGATCATCAAAGCAACTCCCGTGCCATAATTCGGAACGTTGAGCATAAAGACGATTATTTAAGTAACCTACCTTATTATTATATTTTCGCAAAAAAATGTAAAATCAGGAAACCGAAGAAGAACTGATTAACTCTTATAATATACATACGTATATATCTATCATATCCATCTCTATGATACCTACCTATTTTAAATCTACTATCAGCTATGTCTATGTATCTAATAGATCTCTCGTTTATGTACCTATTTAAGTACCTAGTCCTAATACCTTTCCTCTCGTTACGTAAATAATATAATATGTAGATATTAACTTATGTGTTAAGCAATATAAACATAATATTTAGTGTTAATATGACACCTGGAGTTTGGAGTACTTATCAGCCTACATAATAAGTACCTACCTACTATCTATAGTATCCCGAGTTTCTTTAGTATGGTTGCCATACATGAAAACATAGTAATGTTATTAGGAGGGCAATGAAGTTCAAATCTTATTTTATTCATAAATATATACATAAAAACATGTGTTTGTACTTATGTACGCACGTAAGTTATAGGTACCTACTTCTTTGGCGTAACAGAACAAAAATAGTTAAAGATTTCATCCCGTATGTCACAACTCTCTGTAAAAGGAATGCAGCTAACTTCATCATGTCGCTTTTTGGCTGTCGGTGTGCACGCATAGCGTAAAAATTTTACTCTCATATTTTTTTCCAAACGTGCCAAAAGAAGTACCTATTTAACTTCAATAATATTTATGTCCAATATAAAAGTAACATAAGAAACCTATGTAATATATAATGTTGCTATAACTTTATTTAAAGTACAAAGTACATAGTTCGGTACAACACAAAGCTTTGTACAATTTATTTCAACCAGTAACAAGACAAAGACGTAATTTAGAGAATTCAATAGTACACCTCAAAAGTTATAGACAAAAGATACTTTACTCTTTAATTAGAAAGGGATAAATATATATTATATTATTACAGAGAAAAGAGACAACAATATATAAGATGTAAGGACATGATACGTGTCAGGATTTGAACCAATAAGAGTGATTCATTATCCTGCGAGGGTGATCCTTGTGTTCTGATTGGTGGAAATAGACAACGCCTGGCCACGCCTCTTATAAGTCATTTGAATTCGAATATCGAAGGGAGAAGGTTATAAGTTACTATATTAGATATATCTACAGAGATGGATATCTCGACACTTACTTTAGCGATGTGAGCGATAGTTTTTTTCTATTCTGTTTTAAACGTACCTATTAATGGTATTTTAGTTTTACTATTATAGTAACGTTTAAACGCGGTTTTGCTTGTACTTTTATCATACATTAGGGTTTCAAGGTAGGCTATGTATATATTTAAGCGGTTTCCGGCGGATGGTAAATAATTTTCATGCAGAAGTAAGATATTTTTTACTAAGTTGAAATACGAAAATATATGGTATGTAAATATTATATTGGTAATAAAATTATAAATACAGTAAACTTGATTCTTAAAATAAGTTTAGAGAACTCTACATCTGAATTTAAACTTATTTGAATCTAGGTAAGATTAAGTATGTACCTTATAATTTAAATTTTTAGCCTAACTGTACCTATATTAAAGTGAATAGGATAAATTAATAATTACCCTGAAAAATCAACATCCAAGAGGAATAAGGTAGCTTGAGCTCTTGCTTATGTTGTTTGGAAATAAGTAGTAGCGTAAGTAGGTATTTGTCAAATATCATCAAAATCTGTTCAGTAGTTACTCGTAATTCATGGAAGGGTTACGGAGTAGAAAACCTTTAGATTTAGGTAGTGTAATACTAAGTATGAATATTAAAAATTAAATTTGCTTACTTTGTTGAAAAATCTATACCATATACTGTCTATTTTCAACTAAATCATGTTTTATAATAAATCCATAATCTCTGGGTTGGCAAAAAGGGCAACCCTCATCCCCTATTCGCACAATATGCCAGGATGCGTTCGTAATGCGATATTTTATTACCTCATTGTTTAAACTATTGCGTAAGTGACTGTACATTTTTGGCTGCACCTTGCGAGGATGGTGTTATGCTGTGGCAAGGGAAATAGTATGTTATTGTAGTAGCTACTTGAGTTTCTCTAGAAATATGCGTTTGAATTATCTGTGTTAAAACACATGGTAAGTGGTAAATATAAGACAAAACTTTGATCAACATACAGACATTTAAATAAACCTAATACTTTTATGTAGATTGTGAACAATTCACTTAGTAGGTCCATGTCATTATGATATTTAGAAAAAATATTACACTTAAAAAAATCTAACTTAAATACTTTAAAAGTAAGATTTTTGCATAAGTAGGTACCTATTCTAATTTGATTTGAAAAAAACCGACAACAAGATCATACCCAAGATTAAAAAGGAACATAAATTATGATTTTAGAAAAACTAGTGATGTTTTACTAACTACATACCATCCAAAATTAAAAAAGTTGGCTTAAAATTAACTGGACATCACTAGTGAACGTTATAGACTTATCTGTTAATTTTATTCAAGGTCGAAAATTAATCTTTTATCTAAATTTAAATAAGTGCTGCACATTTAGTTAGACCTAAATAATTACCCTGTTAGTAAAAGAGCATTCACAGCTATCACAATGGGCCAGGATGCGTACTTGTAATCCGATATTTTATTAGAGCATTGTTTAAACAATTGCGTAAGTGACTGTACTGTTCTGTCTGCACCTTGCGGGGACGGTGTTATACTATACGGCAAAATATTAATTTTAAAATGAAATTATTTTATATTTTCTCTATCTTAGATATTTTATATTTTCTCTATCTTAAATTCTTTTAAAGATTTAATATCTTAGATAGAACAAAAAAAAAAGATTAAATTAATGTTTTTATTTAATAATTGTTTAAATTATTTTCTTTTCTCAAGTGACACTAAAACCTAATTTTTGGTACAGTATGAGTAGGTTTTCAAATCATCATTATATCGTGACTAGTATTGCATAAAGTCATCCAATTCAGTATTGAGCGGCATACGTTTCGCGTTAGGGGAGGCGGGGGATATCAAGTTACGCCTGTCGGCCCCAGTTTGTATAATTTTAGATTCACGCTGAAATGGGGGATGGTTTAGAACGATCTCTAAGTATTCCTTTATCTACGATATATCTTTTTTATTTATCATTTTATCATGTATAAGATGAGCTATTATAATTCGTCTAGTTTATGGTAATATTATAAGGGTAAAAGTTTAGAAGTTTGGATGTTTTTTACTCAATCACGCCAGAACGGCTGAACGGATCTGGATGAAATTTGGCACAAAGATAGATTATAGTCTGAAAAAGCACTTTTTATCCTGAAAAAATGCACAGTTCCATGATATTCGTGGGATAGATTTTTTTTGTTGTTCCGCTAGTAAAATATTTTATTCTAGTATTATAGCTACAAAGTCCGCACTTTGTTTAAAATTTATATATACCTAACATGCATTATAAAAACATTACATAGTTTCTCTATTTATGTACATGTAGCTAATATGACTTTATTTATATTATATGAGTTTATATACAAACTTTTTATATCTCCCAAAGTAGGTAATAAAAAAGTAAAAATAAATAAAAAAATGGCAAGAGAAAAAAAAATATTAAAAAAAAAGATCAACATCCAAAGATTACGGCCCACACAGATTTCACACATCGCTAGTTAATAATAAACCATTAAATTGGATTTCGGTTAATTTTTCATACGTGTGGTCGACGCTACTTGCATTACGTCGAACCTCTTCACAACTCAAGTCACGCAGAATAAAAAAAAAGTAAAAAGTTTCATTTTCGCGCGCATTTTGTGGATTTTTAAAATTCACTTTTTTGTTATAATTTTGGAAACGTTTGTTTTTATATGAAGATTATTTTTTTATATCTTTAATATAATATTTTAATAATAATGGTATTGATAATAAAATTTAAATTAAGTAGGTAAATTACGATTTTATAGAACCCATACAAATCAAGAATGAAGGATGGAAATAGGATGTTTTAAAGTTTTGTATAGGTAGGTACCAGGTTTGAATTCTTGTTTCTATTAGCTTTAAAGTCTGTTTAAAATGTATTTACATTCGACTCTTTATTCTATACATATAATAAAATTCTGAATTCTGTACCTTAACTATTTTTTGAAAATCTTATTAAATAGTTATTATTATTGACAGAGGCCTAATGTATAGTTTTTAGAATTTTTGTCTATCTGTCAGTCTGGGAACACATCACGACAAAACCACTAGACAGATTTTGATGAAATTTGGTATGATGATAGCTGGTTATCCGGGTCAACATACATGATACTTTTTACTGCAGGAAAATATGTCTAAGAAATCTATCCTAATCGTCAAAACGTATCTAGGAACGAACCAGAGCGGAACGATTGTGAGTCGACAGTCTGTGATATGTGTGTGTAGAACTAACTATACAAGATTAGCCGTTTATCTAAAATATACAGAAAAAAAGGTTTAACTTGTTTATCATTCCCTATACCTAAATTCGAATACACATTCTTATCACAAATCTCCATTACGCTAAAGATGTGCAAAACCCCGTCATTCGAAGCTAATACGTAAAATGAAAGTAAACTTATTTAAGCTTACAATGGAATAGCGACGCTTCGGCGCCAAACGCCGTCTGTGGATAATCCCTATTGAATTTGTTTAGTTTTTATTTATTTTTGCAATGTTCACGCGCATTTGCACGTTTTAAGTTAATTCTTGATAGCATTTTGAGATAAACAATTTGGTTGTTACTGCTTTGTTCTAAAATGGTTGTGTGATTTTTGTTTAATATATGAAATGTTTATGTTATGATATATATATATATATATATATATATATATATATATATATATATATATATATATATATATAGGTTCAGGTTGTCAATGTATGTACATAGGTTCAACATGTATGTATTTTAAAAAATAAGTAAATATATTTGTAATAATATAATATTATTTTATTAAGGCGCAGGCGTAAAGCTCTGATATTTTAATGTGCTAATAATTTTAATTTTTTTATATTTTTTAAAGAATAAATAGGGGCTTTGTAAAAATGATATTTTAATATTTTTAAGAATTAAAAATTTATTTATATTCATAATATTTATCAATAAAAAAATACTACAATTAATTAATTAGAAATTAATTTCGTATTAACCTTGCGAAAAGATATATTTTTTATATCATATTACTATATCATTTGTATTTTAAGTTCCCAGTTCTTGCGTTGTAGATAACATTGTCAAATTGCACAAAGGTCGGGTAGCTTTAAAGAGCTTTTTCGCTTGCGAGCTTTTATTGAACGAATAATATAAAGATAGACATAGAGACATGTTCTTTTTTCAAAAGTATAGTGATGTTTAAGTCTATTGACAAACAAATGAGACTAGAAGTTTTTTGAAGTGAATCGTAGTATTTTTGTGAAAATATGTAGAGCACCTACAGTATTATATTATCGCATAGGCGCAATGGGTTTTATTATTGCCCCTAAAATGTTCCTTCTTCACAAACCAATAAACCAAGGTCAAAATGTCCTATGATTAAATATGAGACAATAGAAGGCGGGAATAGCCTATTTACTATTTTGTCAAAGCCTATTTAATATTTTTATTTATTTATATTTACCCCGAATCTATCAAAAACAGATAATTGAAAGTAAGTAAGCAAAAAAATAAAAACCAAAAACAGATTGTATTCATGCTAAATGCAGAAGGCAGAATACATATTCTGTTATATAATTATTATTACCTATCTACTCATTCAGTTAATTAAAACAAACGGTAATTATTTTAACGTATTTATAACTTTTACACTCGTAACAAATTCATTCACATACAATTTTAGATTTTCCTTTTTCTTGCATTAATAATGTAATTTTATGCATATATATATATATATATATATATATATATATATATGTATGTATATATATATGTATATATATATATATGCATATATAATAATATAGCATATTATTGTAATTATAATGTAAAAAAACAAAATAGTATGGGTAAGTAGGTATTCAATATGTTCTTACACTTAAAGCTTTTGTTTACTTATTTAATACTAGCGACTCACCCTCGCCTCGCTCGGGTTCGTCCTTTGGTACATTTAACGGTTAGCTTGGAATAGATAGACTATAGGTATATAACATACATAGTAGGTATGATGAGTTGTTGTGGGTTGTATTATAAACGTGTTTTCCCATGGTAATGAGATAATCTGCCGCAGTAAAAAGTAGCCTATGTTACTCTCCAGCCCTCCAACTATCTCCACACACAAGATCACGCCAATCCGCCACTTTGTTTCGACGTGAAAGAAGGACAAACAAACAAACAAACAAACAAACACACTTTCACATTTATAATATCAGTATGGATAGCCTTTCTTGATAAACGGGCTATCCAATACAAAAATTTTTTTTCAAATCGGATTAGATAGTTCCTGAGATTAGCGCGTTTAAACAAACAAACAAACTCTACCTCTTTATAATATTAGTATAGATGTCTATTTAATCATAACTACTATTATTTGCTTTACGACGAGCAGAGTTAATTCAATAAAGCTTTTATACTTGAAGTCAATGTTCTTTTAATCATGTTAGACAACTCTATTATTAGCTTCAGTAATATTTTTTCTATGATTATTTTAGAACGCATAATCAAATAGGTTGACGTGAAAGAATTTTGGAGATATTTTATTTTATTTTATTTAGGTACAGAAACAAAAAACAAATTAAAAAAAATTACATCTACGTATTAAAAACTAAAAATATCATTTTAAATTTGTTGTCCAATTATATCTGTACACAACATTCAAATAAAAGCATATATGAAAGAATATTTACAAGAAATATTTGCTATATATATATATATATATAATTATATATATATATATATATATATATATATATATATATATATATATATATATTATATATTTTTCTTTATGGTTATAAATATAATAATGGCAACACTAAATATAGATTACTAATTAATATTTTA